TAAAATTAATGAAATACCGTTGTTGTTTTTTTTCAAAATCAAAATACCTTATTGACTTTTATTGTTATATTAAATTTATTTTTAGTATACCACATGGCTAATATCTGCTAGAAAAATAGTTTAAACATAAAATATTCAATATAATATAACGTGCATTTTTCAATTAATTATTTGATCTACCATAAATAATAAATTGTTAATTAAACATGTTTTTAATTAATTAATGATACCTATTTTATTAATCTAGTTATGTACAATTGTATTTTATATAATTTATCATGGTAATTAATAATACATTTTGTCTACATATCCATAATTTAAATAATAATTAAGCCCATTTAACTGATGATACAATAATCTACACTGAACTCGCTACAAAAAGTAATAACAATCAATTTACAAAATCATTTAAATATTATTTTATAATCATAGTGATACAATAGTATGAATTCTTCAAAAAGTCTTAGCATAAATGAATCTTGTCAGTCTACACCATATTTGTACTTCACCATCGTATAATTTAACAATATACAAATATATCTATCGAAAACTAATACTAAATATCTTTGTGTAACATTGAGAAAAAACAATAACTTAATTAGAATAATAATTATTATCTAACTTTCAATAAGTTTATTAAAGCCTATTGATACTGTTCCCTATTATAATCAATAAATCTGAAATTCAGAAAAATTAGCATAGTAAGAAAAACTTACTGTGCACCCTTTATACATTATACATATATACTTATATGGAATAAATATGCACAAAATCGTTTAGGGAAATTAACAGCAAGTATTTCAAAATAAAACAAATGTTGTATGACATTCAAGAAAACTAACCACATTTAAATACAAAATTACAAAATTCAAAAATAACATTAAAAATTTAGCTAAAAGCGTTTTAAAATCGAGTCATAGGTCAACAGGTTTAATACACTGACGTTTAAACATAGTACTATCTTGACTATAACGCCATTCTAAGATGAGGACGTCCTCGTTCTAATAACTTGATTGTTTGATAATCACCACTACAAATGAATTGATTTTTAAGCTGCGCTACTAATTAATTACTTACCACTCATATCATTATTTATTGTTAATTTGAAATTAAATGAATTAAATCTACTAAAATACTGTTTCTTAAAATTTAAAATAATTATTGATATACCAACAAACGTATATTTATGTGTTTTAGTAATGAAAATTTAACATTTTTAATTAATTACATAAATTATAATGAATAATAATTTCTTAGAATTAAAAATTATGTAAGGGGACCTAAAAGTCTTGTTGCTTATAAAATGTGCTATTTGTAAGCTGCCTATTTGTTTGAATTAAAATAATATTTTCAATTTAAATATTATACAAACAATGTAAGTACAAAATATCTGTTGATTAATTTAATTTAATTCAGAAATTCTATCCTTATTTTATTATAATTATTGGATATTTCTATGCATTTTTGTCAAATAATAAATCATGAAATATACCTTTAATTAATAGAAATATGAAATCACCCAAATTGAAACATGCCCTGGAATGGCTGGAAATATAAATATTTTAGATTTTAAGAAGCTTACTTCAAAATGCATGTTTGTTCAATTAAAATCAAATTTAATTAAATACTCAAATAACATGCATTGTATTTTTGAATCGGTTTTTTTTTATATTTTAAAGCTAATAAAATACGCTTATAGCTTATAATTAGTAAGTAATCGTGTAATTTTGTATCTATTTTGTATAGATATGTACTATTTTGTTAAAAATAGTAGTTATTATTTTAATAATTATTTTTAAAAACGATATCCTATCAATACTGGTCATTTTTACACTTTTACACATTCATTAATTTATTATAGTACTATAATCTTAGTTAATATAAATATAAATGTAATATAATAATATTTCTATAGATAATTCACATAAAAATAAGTACATTTTGATTTAATGTAACACTTATCATAAGTTCATTAATTATTTAAATCTTTATAATTACCTATTGAAGATTTAAAGCTAAGGTTGGTATAATAGTAAATATATTTCGTTGTTTTACAAGAACAAACACAGATATTATACGTATACAGTGCATCGTCAATTTTAACATCTAGTAAGATTAAGCAACAAAAAATAATCAATTATTAATAATTATTTCATTAAATTTCACTATTTTAAAATTTAAAAACTCTATCATAATTGTATTTTATTACGTTTATTCTGTAAATGAAAGTTGATGCTTTACTACATCTAGATGAATAATAAAACAATAAATGTTACGATAAATTATGTTTTCAACAAATATTTTTTCTTAAATTTAAAGGTATATCGATTAAATAAAAACATTAAAAAAAACTTGTTGATATGATGTTTTGAAAACACTGTGTTTTAATAAAACAAAGGTTTAATAGTAAATAATTTTAAAATTTTATTAAAACTAACAGTCTGTTGTCCGACCTCATCGTATTATGTGTAAATAGTTTTAAATATTATATAGAACAACATTAAATTAATTATAATTAACTTTATTTTAAAATTTGTCATAATTTTATAATATTTCACTCTTTCTTGAATTTAGATATGAATAACAACCATAAAATAAGACAAAAATTTAAAATTATTTTATTTCAAGAGATACAACTACCTATCGTACGTGATAAGCATGTGTAAAAGGCTGAATTAGAAATCAAATTAATTATCTAAAGACCAAGAGAGTACAGTAATGAGCACAGTAAACGTCAGTAGAAACATAATATAATAATTAATAACTAGTTTTATCATAATTAATTTAATCTAAGTAAACTGATTCTTAAGTACATTAATATACTTTACATGAAAAGTTACATGAAGAATAAATTAATTTAATTCTTAGTTAGTTAGTTATTAAGAATTAATTATTATATAATTATTTGAATTGGTGTCTACTTTATGTCGCGTTGGTTTAAGTTTTAGTTAAGAATATAGAAAAAACTTCTACTGTTGCTCGTATAGATTAAAACCTCTTTTACATTTTGATTTACTTCCTGGATTAACGACCCCCTGTTATTTTTATTTTTAACCTTTCGCATTTACAACACCAATAAGTTAACCTTGTTAGAAATACATAAATAGCGTTTGTTATATGAGAACCCAAAAAATCAATAGCAAATATTTAATTGAAAATTATCTATGTATCTAATTATTTTACATACTCAATCAACAAAACTAATTTTAATTACATCGTATGATATAATACGTCGACAAACATTTTCAAAGATGAATTTGATTAAAAATGAAAATTTTGGTAATTAAATCTAGATAATATTGTATTAATTGTGTTTATTGGTCCAATGCCGTGATTTCCATTGAATAGGTATATTCTGCGTGCAATTATAATTAATAACGTATAGGTTTATACCAATATTACTGAGAGGACTTGAATTTCACACTAGAATTCTACTCTGGTTTTTATCTTGTCAACATCATAGTATTTGCTAATAAACACTATTAACAATATAATATACACAGTCATTGAAATTGTTTGATGTAAAATAATCTTAGAAAATATTATGCTATTATTAATAATCATGTATTTCTAGCATAATATATCCATCAACACTATATACGTACATGGTGTTTTAAAGTATTGTTTATACTTTTCTATTTGTATTCATCATAGTATAAGTTGTCAGAAGTGCGTAACACATATAATTGTATACGTGCTCAATAAAACTTTCTTTTACACGAGATCAAACACGTATAGTTATAAAATCGTCATTTAGTACTGAATGCACTAGGATAATTCACTTTGATTCTAATTGAGAAAAAAAAATTATGGCAAACATCTATGTCTTACACATCAACAATGACGTAGCAAACCATCAGTTTAATTACTTTTCACACTGTAACATGGAGCGTAGGTCTTCGGTTATTATTGGTACTTATTTTTTATCAGCTAACTTATAAAGATAATCTATAAAGAATAGCTCAATTGGTTTTTCAGTGACATTTCATTTTTTATTTCTGCGAAGAGTAAGTATAATAGAGTTCAAGGTGTCAATATATTATACTATTATAGTATTATTTCATAAGTACGGGCATCAATTTTATTTAGATATCGAAATAAGCTCACATAACGTGTACAGCGAACAAATGTATGAATGATCATAATGCAAAAATTTCATGTTGAAACCAAACACGTCGTCGTGTAGGTATAAAAAATATTGTACTTTCAAGATGTTTTTATTACAGCAAATTTAAGGTCAAGTAAAACAAGAAATAATTATATTATTTATTTTATTATAAGACTAATAATAATAATAATAATATAAGTATTGTTACTATTCGTTTGATTTGAATAAATGTGTGCTTATATAAATATTTTTTTTTAATTACCATGTCATATAATACGTACATAATTACGTATAAATATATGATTTCACAGTACGAATTGTACAATTTATAATTTATATATTTATAAATAATTATTGTGACCGAAGATTAAATTACGTACTTTTGAAAAATAAAGGTAAATTAATAATATAGTTAAAAAAAAAAAAAAAAATTGACATACCTTTAATGTGGTTGCAGACAATCTGCATTAACAATAAATTAAAATATTTTTTGTTTTAGTCTTGATTAAAAACAAAACAAAACAGTTAAATCGCACAGATCGTTTGATTTCTCGTGCAAACTTTCGAACACAATCATAATATCGCTCATCAAACTATGGTAACAATATTGTTATAGACATTTTCCACCACAAATATCTATATTTTGTTTCCCCTATAACCTTGTCTACAGCGGTCCGCCGGTCAAGGTCGATCCAGAATTATTCAAAACAAATATTATTTTCGAACACACTCCGCGGACCGCCACAACAACTCCGACCGTTTATTATAATAAAGATGATGTTAACTGTCTCCTCCTATCTGTCCGATTCGCACACGTGGTCTCCGGCGTCGGCAACGGCTACTATGGTCACCGACCGACCGCTTGTGCTGCAGTCGAGCTTGAGCGCCGCCGTTCATGTATTTCGTATACAGTATGATTCGCACGCGAGAGTCGTACGGACCATCGTTCGGTTGTCGTAAGTCTAGCCGACGTGTACCTACCTATAACTTCGTTTTTGCTCTGCTTCAATGAATGATATACCTTAGCCGTGAGTACCTACTGTTATGCTATATGCGGCGATCTTATACTATAAATCGTCTAATAAGAATCAATAAAATTGTTTAACATTACGATTTACCTGTTCGGGCCATTAACCTAACGGCTGTAATAATTATTATTGATGTCTGTTTACGTTGGTCGAAAACGCTTGTTCATAAATAAAATAAACCTTCATTCGATGGGCAGTAGTAATAATACTGTACATTAATACATTAATTTGATTTAAATGTTTGGTCTTATAAATGTAGTTAATATTTTTTATTTAAATTTATAACGAATTTATTATACACGTTAGCATATAATAATCAAACATTTCATACTACCTTTATACTTTTATTACCTACTGGGAAACAATTATACAATTATTCGGGTTTTGCCCGCGAATACCGTTTACGGGAAAGTATGGTATTGGACGTAGGGTTGGAAAAAACAGTTTTTTTTTTATAATAATGCAAAACAAACGTTTTATTCATTCAAAACGCTATTTATTTTTTATTTTTTTAAACGTTTTAAGAAATTTATCAAAAATATTTTTTAAATTTATAACAGTGTATTGTTTTAAATATACTACATTGGAAAATTATAAAATAATATCATTTTTATACTATCTACACCATAAATGTATGTACTGTGACCTAAAAAAAAATGTGTATTTCAAAGAAGAAATTACGATACGATTTTATGTTTTTTTTTCTAAGTTTATTTATAAGATATAAGAACCTAACCTAACCTAATCGCCTTGTCTAAAATACATTCTAATCTCAGAAATACATAGTGATCATCAAATCAAATCTATAAAAAAACTTTGAAAACTATACAATAATTATCAAATTTATTTAACCTTGATTATATTATTTACATCAGTAAGACGTTTTTGTTTTCATGCTATAACTAAAAGTTTAAATACTAATCAAGCCAACATTTTTTTTCGGACAGGCAGTTCAAAAAAACTTTATTCACTAAAATATTGCCAAGAGAAATATTCACTTTCATCAAAGAATATTTTACGTATCTACTATCTAGATTATAATTGAATTGCATATCTGTACTATCATTTTTATGTTTACAATTATGTTTTTTTCATCTTTATTCACGTCCAATCATGCGTTATCTATAATTATATTTTTTTAAATTATATTTTATATTCTTAAATTATTTATCTTTTTCAATTATTTTGTTGAATTTAATTTTTAATCTGATGATACGTGATTGATATCAGTAATCTATATTTCTTTGAAACTATTTTATCTAGGTATTTAATTTTTAAATTATACCATAAAAGTACAAAGCACACTGTTTATATTTTCACAATTTTTGGAGTACTTATTTATTTATTATATAGTTTTATAAGTATTTGGTGTTTTAAATGGTGAAGTTCTTTTTGATATTGGATACAAGCTTTTTTCAGATGATTTAACATCAATTTTCAATTTAAAAATTTACTATATATATTGTGTACATTTTAGTTTTTTTTTTTATTGATCCAATAAAAAGCCCGACAACTATGGTCATTAGCTACAAATATGCAATATACAATAGTTATTTACAGTTTTTAGGTATTCTTATATATAAATTAAGTATTGATATTGAAATTACATAATAGGTGAGGTTACATAGTGTACAGTGGGGTTAAATATTATTATATTAAATTGTAAAGGCCTGTCGATTTCAGGAATTTTATTAACTTAGAGTTTTCTTCAGTGTTGGGTCCCAGTGCGGTGTCCAGTGATGAATCTAATCCGATGATTTGACGATCGCGTTGGAATTTTAGGCATTCGGTTATGATGTGTTTCACAGTTAATTGGACACCACAGACTTCACACGAGGGTGGTTCTTCCCTTGCCATTAGGTACCCGTGCGTAAGTCGTGTGTGTCCAATTCTCAATCGGTTTAGAACCGATTCTTCTTTTCTTTTTAAAGAATTGTTAATCCACCTGTTGGTGCATCTTTTTATAGTGTTGAGTTTGGTGTTCTGTTGTTTCCACGTATTGAGCCATTTGGTATTAGTTATGTGATCTATGTGCCTTTTGAGGTCGTTGTAAGAAGGACCTCCTATAATTGCTATTTTTGGATTGGTGGCAGCGATCTTGGCCTGTTTATCGGCTGATTCGTTTCCTTCGATGCCAGAGTGCCCGGGGACCCACATGAGAATTATTTGTTTATTTTTGGATAGGGCTTCATTTAGATTGTTTAGTATTTTTATAGCGATGTCTCCGGGATTGAACTGGTTTTTTATACTGTTGAGTGTACTCAAGGAATCACTGAGTATTATATGCTTGGAATGTTCATCGTCTATAACTAATTTGATCGCCTCTAGTATCGCTATGGCCTCGGCCGTGTATATAGAGCATGTGTTAGGTAACTTCATTAATATGTTTTTGCGTTTGAGTATTATTGAGATTCCTACTTGGTCCTGTGTTTTGGACGCGTCGGTGTATACTTCTTGATATTCTTTATAATTTTCTATTATATTAAGGAAGTATCTTTTGAACATTTCTGGGGATGTCTGTGTTTTTAAGAATGCACTGAGGTCAGTATTTATTTCGTATGGAGAAGTCCACGGAGGTGTGGTCGGTTGATCTCTTACAATTAGTTGCTTGAAGTCAATGCCGTATTTTTCTAATTGATCATATGATTCGCTGTCTTCAAGTGGGGGGTTAATATTGTTTGATCTATAGTATCTAGTTATGTATTTAAGTGATAGGTCTTTTCTTTTAATCTCGGGTATGGGTTCGCCGGCTGTATTATAGATACTATAGATTGGGCTACTGCGGAATGCGCCTATTGCTAGCCTGAGCCCGGTGTTGTTGGTGCTGTCTATTTTTTTAAGAATGGATTGTGATGCCGATTTGTATATATTTGAGCCATAGTGTATTTTCGATTGGATAATTGATTTGTGGATTTTAATTAGTGTTCTGGATTCTCCTCCCCAGGATGTGTGTGAAAGTATTTTTAGAATATTTAATGATTGACTAGTTGAAGATTTAAGATAGTTTATATGTGTTGTCCATGTATGTCGGCAGTCGAAGAAGATACCTAGTATTTTGACTGATTTTTTAATGGGGATTTGTTTGTTGTTGAGTGTAATTAAAAGTTCACCAACTTTTTTCTTTTTAGTGAATATTATGAGGTTTGATTTTGTTGGTGCGAAGTTAAAACCTGTGTTTCTTGCCCATTCAACTAAATTATCAGTGGTTGTTTGGAGGTGATTTCGTACTGAGCTTATATTGCTGCTGCGACATGAATAACTAAAATCGTCGGCAAATAGATTGCATTTTGTGGGTAGCGAACAGCTTTGGGTTATATCGTCTATGGCTAAGAGAAATAGAGTAACAGATAATGCTGAACCCTGTGGTACTCCGTTTTCTTGGGTAAATTCTTTGGATAAATGACCGTTTGCTTTAACCTTGAATGTGCGATCTTTTAAGAAGTCGGTTATTAAATCGAGTGTCTTTCCTTGGCATAGTATTTGATTTAGTTTGACTATGATGTTGTGTCTCCATGTACAGTCGTATGCTTTTGAGATGTCGAGGTTGACTAGCCCCATTATCTGTTTATTTTTAAAAGTCTGGTTTATTTCATGGTTGATTTGAGTTAGGTTATCGATTGTGCTTTTGTTTTTTCTAAAGCCGTACTGATGTTTGGATAAGTATTTATGTTTTTCTAGTATCCAAGTAAGTCTATAGTTAATGACTTTTTCCAACATTTTACACAAGGTGTTTAAGAGCGTTATTGGTCTGTATCCATCGGACTTAAACTTATCTTTTTCAGGTTTTGGAATTGGTATTACCGTACCATTTTTCCATGTACTTGGCCAAAAGCCTTCAGTGAAGATTCGGTTGAATAACGTTAAAGTTAATTTTAGGGCGTTTGGCCCGAAATTTTGTATAAAAATGTACGGTATGTTATCAGGGCCGGGGCTATGACTTTTGCATTTTGTTAGAGTGAATATAATTTCTTCCATAGTGATTGGTAGGTTTAATTGGATTTGGTCTATTTGGTTTTGATCTAAAGTGTTAGGAATAGTTTCTTTTTCTCGTTCGTGTTTGTAAGTTTGAAATTGTGTCGTATAATTGGCATTACTGCTATTTTGAGAGAAATATTCCCCCAATTGATTTGCTACTAGTTCTTCGTTAATTAGTTCGTCGGTGTTCGTATTAATCAGATTGATTTTTCGATTTCTATTTAGTCCTTTAAGGGATTGGATTTTATTCCATACTATTTTCGTGTCGGTTTTTTCATTTATGCTGTATGTAAAATTTTCCCAAGATGTCTTTTTGCTGGTTTTTATCAAATATCTGGTTCTTGCTCTATGTTTTTTTAGTTCTATGAGGTCTTCTTGGGTTTTGGAGAGTTTGAATTGTTTTAATGCCTTATATTTATCTTCAATTGCGGATTTTATTTTCTGGTTCCACCAGGGTACTTTGGGCTTCCTGTTATTGGTGGTTGATTTGCCTATTGTTAGATTTGCTGTTTGTTTGATCGAGTTGGTAAACGTAGTTACTAGTGTATTGATGTCTACTGTTTCGACGTCTTTTATATTTTTAATTTCCTCTTCCAATAGTTCTGAGTATAGTGACCAATTGGGGTTTTTTAAGTTCCACCTTTCACCCGTGGTGGAGTCGTTGGTCCGTGATAGGTATTTAATGATGATGGGAAAATGGTCACTGCTAGTAATGTTTTTGTATACGTTCCATTTAAGTCTTTGTGCTAGCGCTGAGTTGGAGAGTGATAAATCGATGTTGGACATTAGACCGTTTGCTATGTTTATGTGAGTGGGTTCGTTGTTATTCAAAATTACTATATTATCATTATCCACTGATTTGTAAAATTCTTTTCCTCTCCTGTCGGTACTCATGGATCCCCATGAGGTGTGGTGACTATTAAAGTCTCCGGTGATAATGAAGGGTGAAGGTATTTGGTTTAGAATATTTTCTATGTCGTTTTGTGTGAAATCTTGTTGGTTAGGAATATACATGTTGCACACGT